AGAGAGAGCATCACATTAGTAAAATTGATAGTATTTACATTTAACAAAATCTATGGATCGTCGACTTCTTCAAGTAATTTCAAAACAGGGAAAGCACATTCCCTTTTAATTTGTTTAAAACTGTGCCTTTGTCTCTGTTATTATTTGTTTGACTATCTTATTTATTAGCTTCTTTTGATCATAAACATTCACGTGCAACATTAATAAACGTTTTATGTGCTCAATTCTGGGATTTTTACTAAACCTTTCTAATAATTTGGCACGCGCAAATCACCGTGCTGATAACAAATATGGCGCCAGTTTGTTTACATTGTGCAGAACAAAATTTCAGTGATTGCGCAGGTCAGTGTTGCCAACATTGTGTGAAAATTTTGTGTAAATTGATTTGACGGTTTTTGAAATATAAAAAAGTTATCTCGATAATAATTTGGCATGCAGTGTATTTGTTAAGTTTATACATCTAAAAGATTCTCAACACAGAAGCAAGATATTGTAGTGTTGGTTATTGTGAAATAGAATATTAAGGAGCCCATATAAATATGGAACATGATAAAAGGATAATTTATTCATGTGAGGGAAGCAGCAGCTGCAATGTCAGCAGGAAAATTAGGTTTAGGTTTCCAAGTTCGAGACTTGGGATTATCCCACAGAACCCCACCAAAAAAAAAAAAAAAAAAAAAACACAACCCTTGTTGACTTTTATGGTGGCAACAACTAAAATGGATAGAAAATTTAATTTGAAGAGAAAATAACGACATGATCCAAACATTGATATCTCACACTATTTCTAACAAAATATTAGGAAGGAAACACCCTTGAATACCAGAAAGATCAATAACAGTAAACCTGAGAAATCTATTTTTCTGAGAAATTGCTTTAATAAAATTTTTTTATAAATCTCAACTGAAAGTAGCACTGGCTGCTTGGTCAATGAATGCTGAATGTTTCCTTATAGGGAAACAACTAATATTACCATTACTTTCTAGGTGACTTCTGACACAAAGGGAGCAATAAAACTTTACAGCAGAGAAGAGTTATGTTTCTATGAATAAGGACATTCATTTTCATAAATATTTATTGATTTGCCTTGAAACCAGATTTCCAAATCCAACTAAAAATCAAATGCTATCTGAAGAAAATTATATATTTAACACGAGGCCAAATAAGGGGAATGCTCTAAGTCTCCTTGAACATGAAATTCATCTGTTTTAAACAGAACAGTGGAATATTAATGTCAGGAGATGTTGCACGAGGCCAAAGACAAGATCAGAGAAAACTATAAAGAAAATGTAACAAACATATTCCATATTCCTCGGAGGCTTGTCAGGAAATTAATTTCATTTTGCAATAGGTTAAACCGAAAGTGACATTATTAATATTACATCTCAAGGCTGAATTAGTTTCTTTTTTTTTATAAGTTGAAAATCTAGGACATGTTGAAATATAAGCTTGAGTGTTTTTAAATTGCCTAAAAGCAAGCCATCACTCATTGCCTCAGTGGAGAAGTTGAACTGTTGAAATTTATTCACAATCTCCCTTGAAGGTGTTAAAAGATAAATTTACCAAAGCATAAACTGTCAAAAGAGAAAATCTTTCAGCTAAAATCAAATAGAAAGGAATTCTTATTTTGAAATCTCAATGCCTAAACTCTGCATCATTAAGCAAACTCAGTTTATAGTTGGATACTATTTTTCAACAAATTAGTATAGAAAAATTATGATATTCTAAATCTATTAATGTTACAGTTATTTAGATTTATATGAAGTAAAATATATACAAAATCATATCCACTCTTAAACCTTTTGGTCTTTCATTAAACTGTACTGTGTTAAGTACAAGTTTATGTAAACATCAATGATTCTTTAAAACCTTATTTTTATTATTTTATGGGTTTTTTTTTTCAAGTAGCTCTTGAATGCCTTTCACATTATACAAATAAAAATAACTTTTTCAGTCATTTTAAAATTGTTTGCTGCTGACAGTTTCACAAACAAATTCTTTTTAAGTGAAACAAACTTAGATAATTTAGAGAATCACTTTGTGTGATATTATTTCCTTTGATCTTTTGCGTAAGAACTTTCTTTACATTTTTTTTTAGCTTGTTTTAACAGAACATTTCAGATGTTATTTGGAGCTTGAAATCCTGTTCTAACCTAACAATGATAAATGGTTGATGAGAAAAACTAGGAAACAATTAAAAAGCTAAAGCAGGATAATTTTTTTTTGATGAGAGATGAAACAAAAAAAAAAGTGTCAAAGGGAAATGAACTAACAGTAAAAGGTGATCATCAAGCAATTATAAAAAAAACAAAACAACTTGGTAGATGCATTACCACTGACATCTGGTATTTGTAAATGTAAGAATTAAAAAAAAAAAAAGAGATAAAAACTCTGGAATTGTTTTAAGTGATCTTGGAAATGTGGTATCATCATCAGCTAAGGTGTTTCGACTTCAATGCATACCCATTGTGATTTCTCATTTTCATTAATGTTGCTCAGACCATGACCAGCAGATTACTATTAAGTTTTATACTGCAACAATGATGAGCAGATTAGGATATCAAAAAATGATTTCCATTTCAGACCATGACCAGCAGATTAATATTAAGTCTTTCCTTTGATCTTTTGTGTAAGAACTTACTTTACATTTTTTTAGCTTGTTTTAACAGAGCATTTCAGATGTTATTTGGAGCCTAAAATCTGAAAAAAATGTTGAGCAGATTAGGATATCAAAAAATGATTTCCATTTCAGACCATGACCACCAAATTACTATTAAGTTTTATACTGCAACAATGATGAACAGATTAGGATAGCAAAAGATAATTTCCAAAAGCTAAGCAAAGTATTAAGGAACAGAAAATTTTTTAATAACAAAGAAAATAGTACATGTAATATCAGTCTTCCTATATAGCAGTAAATGCTTGACAATTTCCTCACAGATTAAAAAGAGAAGTAACAGAAATGTGGTTTTACAGAAGGATGCTGAGGATACCCTGGACTGAACATGAGCCCAACGGTGAAGTTTTACAAACAATGGAAGCAAAAAAGACACCTATAGAAATCAGAAAGAGACAATTAAAATTTCTAGGTTACATAAATGAGGAAAGACGTATAAGTATAAAAATCCTTTTCATTGCCATTGTCTCTAAAACTTCATCATTGCTCACATCTTTAGCTCGTTATTCTAAGCATGCATCTGAAGAACCATATTTCTGCTGCTTCAAGTCTCTTCTTCATCAATGAGATGTTGCCCAGCATTCACTGCCATATTGGAGGTCTGATATTACATAACAGTTCGGTACTCTCTTCTTTGTTTCTAACAATATTTTTCTGTTTCTTAATATTTTGCTTAATTTTTGGAAGCCATCTTTCACTATACCAATTCACCTTTGAACACACATGGGATTGCAAAAGATGCCTTCCAAAAGCTAAGCAAAGTATTAAGAAACAGAAGAATTTCATTAGAAACAAAGAAAAGAGTACAGAACATTTACGTAATATCAATCTTCCTATATCTCGGTGAATGCAGGACAAACTCCTTATAGATGAAGAAGAGACTTGAAGCAACTGAAATGTGGTTCTACAGAACGATGCTGGAATACCATGGCTCGAATATGTGAGCAATGACAAAGTTTAGAGAAAATGGAAACAAAAAGGACACTTAGAACCAGAGAGAGACAGTTGAAATTTCTAAGGCATATAATGAGAAAAAAGGGCTTGGAAAATTTGATACTCACAAGACAGATTGAAGGTAAGAGAGACAAAGGAAAACTGTGCATAACTTACCTAGTGAGCTTGAGTATAAGGGTGTCAGAACAGTGAGAGATAACAAAAAGACAAATTTTATTAAAAGCTACAAGGAACATGAAATTGCAGAGAGCCATGACTGCTAATATCCTGAAAGTATATGACAAATATTTCTTGATTATCTGACAGTAGAATAACTGTTTACATATCATTTGCATTGTATTATATCGGTGTCTTGTGTAACTGCAGTTAGGTTATGGAACCAATCCCTGTGGATAATGAAAAAGGACTGTCCAGAAGAACTATGTCAAATCTTTGAAGAATTTGTTGAAATTTTCTCTGTTAAAATTCAGATATATCTTTGAAGCTGATCAAAACTAATTCACAAGAATATTCTAAAAATTCTATAGGCAGCTTTCAAACACATTTGATTTATTATGGATATTACTGCTGAAAAATTACTTGCTAAAAATATTTCCTGCTTTAAGAATTTTAAAGCAGAGACAAAATTTAATATTTTATTTTCAACAAAAAGATCTTTATTAAATTAAACATGAAAAGAAATAAAGGAACAAAAACAAAAAAAAAAATGCCTGTTTTTGTCTTTCAAATATTTCAGGATACATATTTTTGAGGAAATATTTTTTTCTAATAAATAATATTTTATAAGTATTTTATATTATACTTTTGAATAATGATTTTATTTTTTTTTAATCATTTCAGCCCAAGCAAGGCCATAAAGCCATTAAGATACAAGGACTTAATGAGAGTAAAAGAAAGTGAGAAAATTCAAGAGAGGCCAGGATTTAAAGATACAGATGATGATGATGATGATTGAAGCCACATCGCAATGTACTTAAAAACTGGAATAACAAATAAAGACTTCCAGCAGAGAGGAAAGCAAGAGGCATTGAGGCACTGATATGCTGTTTAGAGAGAACAGGAGCCAGTTCAGGGGCATATTTCTTAGTGACTATTATAGGGATACCATCAGTCGACGTGGTTTGTGGGGATCTAGGTTAGAGATGATAGCACAAACCATAGAAGGGGTTATATGCATATCACTCAAAAACATCTTGTACTGTGGATATATTCCTTAAGTTGAAGTGCTGAAGAAGAACGAGTTCTGATTTGATCAATGAAGTTAAGCAGTGTCAAGCTTTATTTAAAAGGGGGATGTGCTTGGGGACACTGGGTAATGTAAGTGAACGCCTACAATCCAAGACCAAGATATGTTTCAGCTTTAGATAAGTCAGAAAGGGTTGATAAGCTGTAAAAATAACAAAAAGAAACAAAGAAAAGAGAGAGAGGAAAAGAGAGACAAGAAAAGAGAGGAAAAGAGAGACAAGAAAAGAGAGGAAAAGAGAGACAAGAAAAGAGAGGAAAAGTGAGACAAGAAAAGAGAGGAAAAGTGAGACAAGAAAAGAGAGGAAAAGTGAGACAAGAAAAGAGAGGAAAAGTGAGACAAGAAAAGAGGAAAAGAGAGACAAGAAAAGAGAGACAAGAAAAGAGAGAAAAAGTGAGACAAGAAAAGAGGAAAAGAGAGACAAGAAAAGAGAGGAAAAGAGAGAGAGGAAAAGAGAGGAAAAGTGAGACAAGAAAAGAGAAGAAAAGAGAGACAAGAAAAGAGAAGAAAAGAGAGACAAGAAAAGAGAAGAAAAGAGAAAAAGTGAGACAAGAAAAGAGAGGAAAAGAGAGACAAGAAAAGAGAGGAAAAGAGAGACAAGAAAAGAGAGGAAAAGAGAGACAAGAAAAGAGAGGAGAAGTGAGACAAGAAAAGAGAGAAAAAGAGAGACAAGAAAAGAGAGGAAAAGTGAGACAAGAAAAGAGAGGAAAAGAGAGACAAGAAAAGAGAGGAAAAGTGAGACAAGAAAAGAGAGGAAAAGTGAGACAAGAAAAGAGAGGAAAAGTGAGACAAGAAAAGAGAAGAAAAGAGAGACAAGAAAAGAGAGGAAAAGAGAGACAAGAAAAGAGAGACAAGAAAAGAGAGAAAAAGTGAGACAAGAAAAGAGGAAAAGAGAGACAAGAAAAGAGAGGAAAAGAGAGAGAGGAAAAGAGAGAAAAAGTGAGACAAGAAAAGAGGAAAAGAGAGACAAGAAAAGAGAGGAAAAGAGAGAGAGGAAAAGAGAGGAAAAGAGAGAGAGGAAAAGAGAGGAAAAGAGAGACAAGAAAAGAGAAGAAAAGAGAGACAAGAAAAGAGAAGAAAAGAGAGAAAAAGTGAGACAAGAAAAGAGGAAAAGAGAGACAAGAAAAGAGAGGAAAAGTGAGACAAGAAAAGAGAGGAAAAGTGAGATAAGAAAAGGGAGGACAAGAGAGGCAGGAAAAGAGAGAGACAAGAGAGACGAGGAAACGAGAAACAAGAGGAAAAGAGAGACAAAAGAAAAGGAAAGACAAAAGAAAAAGAGAGACAAAAGAAAAGGAGAGACAAAAGGAAAAGAGTGACAAGAAAAGAAACAAGCGAAAGTTGTAAAGAAATGAAAAAAATGAGGAAAAGAAACAAAGAAAAAGAAAAGAAAGTTATTTGTGTTTGCCTTTTCAAATATTTTGAGATTCATATTTTGGGGGAAATGTTACGAAAAGTCCAGACAAAAGTGAAAAGATCTGTTATTTTAAAGCAATGTTTGTCTTTGGTTTTGTTTGGGAGAGATACTAAAATAATTCTGTAGAATGAAACCTTAAAAAAAAATGTTTCATGTAAGTAAATGCCAAATCAATGTTGAAAAGTTTGACAGGTCTCAAATGGTAAAGCGGCAAAGTTGAAAAGATGACAGTTGGATTACTGTTGCCAAGCAAGGATAAACTTATCATTATATATATATATATATATATATATCTCCGAGATGCACATACATGTGCATAAATAGGCGCACACAAATGCATTTATACATGTGTAAATAAGAGAGGAAAAACAGGATTGTACTATAAGAGTAGCAGAGGGGATTGAGGTGGCCACTGATATAGGAATGAGAAATGTATCACTCAAATGTCATCTAGAGAAGAGATGAAAGCAAGGAAATGAGTTGTATTTCTGTACTGTTATCTAAGTCGACAGATACGATAGACTTGCAAGCGAAAGTAGATCAAAGCAGTTATTTTTTTTTTTTATTTATTTTATTTTCTTCCTCACCCAGTTCAGTCAAATCTACTCTCCTCAAATGTTCTTTCATCAGCCAACGAAACACTTACAAACCTGTACGAGACTTTGGTTGGCCGACTCCCCCCAAATCTTGCCAAATGTATCTTACCGTCAATTTAGGTGTTACTTACATTAGATGTTACTTACAGCTGATCCAATGCTATATGTCTTGGCTAGATTTTTTGCATTTCTATTTTGGGAATGTGCAAAAGAGAGTGCATCATTTTTCGATATTCTGATTACTGCGACATTCACGAGCGTGCACTGAATATCAAACGGAACCTATCTGTTACAACACAGCAAAGGGGATAAATATTTTTGTTTACTCTCCTGGGTTTAAACTGCTTCATAAGTCATGACACATAAAAAACATTTGATATTTAGACAACAAACAAATTTGTGTGTTTAAACTAAGAAAACTGACATTATTTTAAATCTCTAGGTATTTTAACATTTAGAATTAAAAAAAAAAAAATTATATATTAACATTCAGTCAATACAAGGCCAAAGATCCAATCAGGTTTTGGAGTTGTATGAGTGTAAGAAAAGGCAAGTAGTACAGTTCATCAGGTTATATAGGAAAGATAATGGTTAACCCTGAAATTGAACCTTGGTGATAGCACCTGTTAGGGTCCCAGCTATGGGGAAAATAGTAAACCCCCAAACAAAAATCAATGGTACATTATTATAATAAAATGACAAATACATTTTTATAGTAAAATGACAATCAATGCAAACTAAAAAAAAAAAAACATTAAAAAACATTTTTATTATATAATTACAAAAATTATATTTTCTGACCTATAAAATATATATTTAAAAAAAATACCTTTACCTTCAGAGTATAAAATTATGTACAAAGTATCTATAGTTGAAGGCATAAAATTATGTGCGGGAAATTTAGAATTCGTCATTTAATAACCCATACAGATTGCTATGCCGCTAAACAAAATCAAACAACCTAGACTTGAAAAGCTCAAGATTGTAGCGATCAAGAAATTGTTCAAGTGACATTAATTTCTTACTAATAGAAAATGAAGAGAATAAGGATATTTCACCATTGTAGCCACTTGGGAATACCAGGTGCTATAAGCTTGGAGGTGTAATGGATAATGGCTCAGAATTATTAATTAGAGAGCAGAGTTCTAATTTCAGTTGGGATCATTATATTCACTTATGCGCAAATACCCTTGCAAAAGCTATGAATCTAACTCTTCTTTCCCAGCTATTAGTAAGACTTATCACTAGCCTGTCTTAAAAAAAAATTTAAAAATTGCATACAAAATATTTAGATTTCGGCATTAAAGTATCCAAAGAGGTTGAGAATCTACTAAATAAAATCAACCAACTAACCAATCATTGTGAATGTGACATAGTGGGTCCCAGTTGCAAAGTTATTTTCTGACATGTAAGAACTGAATTATTATCTAAAATTTCAACTGAATAATATTTAAACTGAATAATATTTAAACTAAATGAGTAATATTTGCACAGGGGTAGAAAATTTTACTAAAGCAATACAAACAGACATATGAAAAAAATGGATGGGGCACAGTTGAGTAAGAAACCGACAAAAGTCCTTGTAACATCAAAGATGAACTGAAGGCAAGGAATATAGTAGCCTTCACCAACTTAAACAAGGAGACCATCCAGAAGAGATGCAGGAGATTCTGAAGTCGTTTAGAGGCCATGGTTGAAGCCAATAGCGATTTTATTGAATAAATTTACTCTAGTATCTCGAAATATTTTTATACAATTTTGGTGACTATATCTGTTAAAATGAGATGTTATTTTTTCATTTTGTGTAATTTAGACAACAATTTATCCATCACACCCTGTATACACAGGGTATATCAAAAATACATTTACAAACTTTGGGGTGGGTTCCTCACATCAAAACAAGGTAATATGTCCATATAAGCATATGGATGAAAGGCCATCATTGTACCTCAACACAGTAACTCATAAAAATGTTCATAGCAAAATTAGCAATAATACATTTTTAAAGCAAAATGAGCAGCAATACATTTTATTTGTAGTTGAAGGCATACACTTCCATTCAAAATATATTTAGTTGAAGCCATAAAATTGTGTTCAAATTAGTTACATTTTAGCATTATATATTCCACAGAGGTTGATATGCTACTAAACAAATTCAACTAACTAACCTGACCTTGTATTAAATGTAGTGTGGTAAGTCAATATCTAAGTCATGTCTTTATTTTCTCTTCAAGTTACATGTACTATCCATTCTAGTTGTTTCACCTGTTGAAAGCCTTCATAATATGTGACTTCTGTTATTTGGTAAAATTCTTTTTCTTGTCATTCTGTTGTACCAGTCTATAAGATATGACAAAGAATTCTCCTCTTCCTGACCAACAGGGTTCATTTGCTTGAACCCATTTTTAATCAGTGATCTGAAAAAGAGATTATATACAGCTGATAGGTTATACATTTCTGAATGATTTGAATGCCATGTTTGACATCTGTATGAGAGTATAGATCTGACAAGATTATTTAAGATATCTTTAGTTCTTGGTTTAATACTTCAAAGACAAAAAAAAAACAGGTTCCAAGAATGTTGAACTTCAAAATTTAGTATCACATTTCTGAGATGAGTACAAGAATTCCTCAGTGCAGCTAATTCATACATCAGTAACTATAAAAAAATCAATTTTCAATTACTATAGTTAAACTGAAGAATGTTTTACCACACTAATCAAATATTATGTATTCACTAATCAAATTTTAGTATATAAAATTTTAGTGCACTAATGGAAAACACATTAATCAAAAGTTGTCTGTAATTGTCAATATTGTATTATTTTAACTATTGTTCTTATTATCAATGAACATCTGATGATGACCAGAGGGTACCTAGTTGAAACATGTCTATAATAACATCTATCTCAAGTGAGATGAAAACAATATTTTCAAATAATAATATAAGAATGTTAAAAATTAAAGTCCCAAAAAATAAATTCCCCTGCCACATATACAAAGTAAAATTCCAAGTAAAAACTAAGTACAGTAAAAGTACAAAAAATCAGTAACTGGATTAAAGTCCTAAAAAATAAAGTCCCCTCAGAAAAAAAAGTAAAATTACAAAAAAAAAAAAACAAGTACAGAAAAGGATTATGTACAGAAAAAGTAAAGTACAAAAATGCAGTAACTGGAAAAATTGAGTTTATGTCTTATTTTTGCACCCTGAGTGAAAATATTCATGTGACAAGTGATAGTGTCTGAAAAACTAATTATCTCTAATATCAAACCTCTTTTTCTTTTCTTCTTAATTTATTTTTTGTTTTGGCATTCTTTCTTATAGCAGAATACTGATAAGCACTCAGAAAATGCCAATCGGATCTTTGGTAATCTTGCTGCAGCAAGGAGAAAGAGGAAGCAGATCAGATATTGTAAAAGAATGTCAAGATAATTTGGACAGCGACATAATGAAGTTCAGCAAAGGAGAGAATGGAATCAATAAGCAAACTTCTTTGGAAGTGTCAATAGCCAGCCATGAAACAACAGGATGAAAATAGAAGGTAATTTGTTTATGAGGAACTTGGACAGCAAATTAGAGGTGGGAACTACAGAAAATAGGTCTGTACAGGAAAAAGTTAGGTGGGGGGGGGGAAGAAGGAAAATGAATCAAGTAGAATTCAATGATAAATCATAAATTTCTGATTTCAGATTTGTTTTTCATATTGAGAGAATGCAAAAAGAAGATTTGCAAAATTCTCAAGGAAAAAAAAAATTTCAATAAATAAACAAAATGGCTGTTGAGTAATTAATTTCCCTTCACTATAAATAAAGACAAGCAGATTAAAATTCTAATTCTGTTTGTGATGAGATGAATTCCATTGCAGCAGATTCTTAAATAGAGAATAATGTGGGAAAGCATTGATAAAATTTCTAAACTGCCCCAAAAAAAGAAAAGGCAAAATAAAAAAAAAAAGAAAAGGTCTGGGTGGTGGGGGGGGGATAAAAAAAGAAAAAGAAAAGGAAAAAAAAGAAAAGAAAAAGAAAAAGAAAAAAAAAAAAGGAAAATAGGAAAAAAGAAAAAGAAAAAAAGAAAACGAAAATGAAAAAAGAAAACGAAAATGAAAAAAGAAAACGAAAAAGAAAAAAGAAAATGAAAAAGAAAAAAAGAAAATGAAAAAGAAAAAGGAAAAAGAAAATGAAAAAAGAAAACGAAAAAGAAAAAAGAAAAGGAAAAAAGAAAAGGAAAAAAGAAAAAAGAAAAAGAAAAGAAAAAGAAAAGAAAAAGAAAAGAAAAAGAAAAGAAAAAGAAAAAGAAAAGAAAAAAGAAAAAAGAAAAGAAAAAAGAAAAGGAAAAAAGAAAAATGAAAAAGAAAAAAAGAAAAATGAAAAAGAAAAGAAAAAAGAAAAAGAAAAGGAAAAAAAAGAAAAATGAAAAAGAAAAGGAAAAAAAGAAAAAAAGACAGTGCCCCCCCCCCCAACCAAAAAAAAACATTTCTATAGATACTGTAAAATAATAGATTTACATGACCTTGTAGGTGATGAATTATTTTCAGCCCCTTTACTATAGTAATATTACTAGCCTCTCGCTATTCTATCATGATCACTATGGCAAATATTTAAATGTTACATTCCTTAGTTCCACCAGCTCAGACCTTCACACCCAGGACCTACCATGCTATGTGCTTGGCAGCAAATCATTCTCATTCTATAACTTTGGTAAGGCCTAACTTCCACTCAGAGACATTCTTCACTAGAACTGTTACTTTTGGAGCAGATACCAGAGAGATGCTTCCCCAACTAATACAATCTTAACACCTTCTAGACTCAAGCCAACTGATACCTACCATACCTACCTAAATGCCTCATAATATTCTTCCTTCTTTGCGCTCTTACAGTTTCATTCAGTAAACCTCCACCTTGAGTTGTCATTAGGCCTTGTATCATATCAACTAAAGCAAAGAAAAATAAATTCCTGAGAATAATCTAAAGGTGAGAAAATTTCAGGAAGATAAATACCATACACACTTACACAGGTGTTTCCAGGTATGAAGAATTTCACATTCTTTGATTTCCACCTTTGATATTTTCGTCTTTCTTTGGTATTTGTGTGAACACATCCAATCAGATTTCAGTTGTTTTTCACAAAATAATTGAAAAATCTATTTCTTGCATCTAGCTAATGGAGTGTTTATTCAACAGCCAATAGTTGTCAGGTTTTCGCATTCGGGGTTAATGACATGGTTGAGCTCTTTAAAGACTTTTCAAAACTATTAACCCTTTCATTGCTGGGCTGTTTGTTTACAATCAAGGTTCTTCAAGCACAATATTTTTAGACAAAAACCTTACTTTCATTCTCTCATTTCTCAGCCCCTACCAAAAAACAAAAATGGCTTAATACAGAAATGATTTGGTAGAATTTTATTTTCTGAGTACATTCTCAACAAATGAGTAACATATACATAGAATATTTATTTTCACTGTTTTTTATGGTTTATCAACCCTTTACAGGTTATTTAAAACCAGGAAATACTATTTGAGATTGCAAGAATTTTGGTGGGGAGATAATGGTTTAGTGATTCAAACCTTACTAATTAACCCATAGCTAGGGGGAGAAGGAGGAGGATTCATACCTTTCCCAAGGGTATTTGCATGTAAGTTAATATAATGAACATGACAGGACTTGGAACAATTCCGAGCCAATATCCATTGCAACACCCACACATCCAAACTTACAACACTTGATATTCCCAAGTGGTCACCCATCTAGGTCTGACTTGGCTTGATGTTTCTCAACTTTGCATGGGTCTGGTTTGGTTTGGTTTATGGCATATCAAACCCACTGGGTTATTTATTGACAAGATTTTTATTGCTAGTAATATTTTTTTTTTAAATGTATAGCTGGTAATTTTTCTTCAAAAATTTATTGCTGGTAATAATTTTTTACAAAGTATTTCTGGTATTAAAACCTATTTTTACACTTTCATAGTGTTTTGACCCCAGTTAGGGGTTAAATATTTACCCATAGCTGGAGCCCTAACAGGTGCTACCACTCCAGATCAGAGTGGACCTGGGAACACCAGAAATTAAAAGGTGATTCCATGCTCCTCAAAACCTCCTGATCAGAGGCCTTGCTATTGGACGTAGTTTATTGTCTTACCCAGGACGTGGATGTAGTTTGTCATCATACCCAGGATGGTAATTGTACAGGAACCAATGTTTCAACATGATGTGGCTATAAGCTTTCCATATAAAAAATCAAATTTTTAGAACTATAAATGTTGAACTATTGCCAGCTCTGGGCATAGCAACAGGAAAAAACAGTTATAGTCGTGGCCATGCAAATGAAAATAGAGATCACTGACAGTTCTTAGCAGTTTATCAAACAATACAAATAGAAATTGAAGATCATAACACATTGGCTCCCAACCCTCATTTCCCTTGTCTCAGGGTCCCAACATTATATCTTAATTTTGGAACAAGCCAGTTTTTTTTTTAACATTGTTTCATATATGAGGCAAGGATATCATAAGTAGTATTTATCACCCACAACCCACTGTTGTGCTGTTCAGTACCGGAATTCATTTTATAACCCAGAGTCCCTTATGATCCACATGAATACAGTATCGTGCTGTATGTAAAAATTTTAAAGTTATCTGAAAAATCAACAGTAGAAATTCCAAAATGAAAATGAAATAAAAAATAATAATTCTTTTGATAAAAAATATGTTTCCGGTACATGATCTCATAAGCAATCAATAATAGCATCCCACTCATAATAAGCCTTATAGAAATGAAATTGGAAAACAATGCACTGGAGGGTCATATAAGCCTTGCCAACATATCACCATGATCCTCCGGTGGGTTGTGTTGGAGCCAACATTTTAAAGATAAGAAGGATAGATAATGACAGGCCCTCAAATTGAAATTATGATTGTGTTGGTCAGGGAAACACCAACGCGGAAGTCTGATCCAAAAAGATGAAACTAGTGGGAAAAAGCTGAATTTTCTTCTTATATTTGGTTTATTTTGTTTTATGGCATATCAACACCTCATTGGGTTATTTAATGCTGACAAGATTCTTTGTATAGGTTTCTATGAATAGAATATATACTCTTTATAAGAAATTGCTTTATAGATCAGGTATCATTGATGTATTTTTCTAAAGAGGGTTTTTTGTTGTCAGTCAAATGTATTACTGGTTATAACTTTTTTTTTTCAAAAATGGATTACTGGCATTTTCATTATAAAGACATATTTTTACACTTTCATAGTGCTTTGACCCCAGTTTGGGGGTTCGATATTTGCCCATAGCTGGGATCCTAACAGCTGCTACCACCTTGGGTCAGGGTGGACCTGGAAATACCAGCATTTAAGAGGTAGTGTCATGCTCCTCAAAACTTCCTGATTGGAGGCCTTGCTGCCAGATGTAATTTATCGTTATACCCAGAATTTCTTACATTTTTGAATACAAAGAAAATGAAGGTGATCTGACTCTGAAACTAGTATTGTGAATCCTTGTTTTAAAGACTTGAACTGGTGCAACTAAAGAACAGAGCTTATCTGAATATTTGTTATAGAAATAGCAAAAACAAAATAAAAGGAAGCAATGGATATACTGCCTGTGAGGAAAAGTCCGCAGAATAAGTCTTATTTCTCAAGATTGCATGAACATTTTTGACCTCCATCTAGGCTGGAACATGATGACTGAGCAGCTTCAGCCAAGATATGGAGGCACTACTCTAATTCTGGTCTAACACTTCACAAGAGTCATGTAGAAGTATTTCCTTGCATTCATATTCCAATTTCTGTTTTTGTACAAACCAGAAAAACTTCTGAGCAAAAGATAAAAATACCTTTAAGATTATACTAGTTTTTTATACACTAAACCAATGCCAGTGTTGATGGTCGACACAGAAACGAAACAAGAGAAGAAAGGACTAAACATCAACTACAAGAAGACAAAAGATATGGTTGTCAGCAAAAGGAATGTCGAATATGTAAAATACTAATTGGAGATACCAAAAATCAAGCAAGTACAAAAATTTAAATATCTGGGATATATTTTAATACCACATGGAAAGTGCAAGAACGAAATCCAAAGGTGCATTGGAATAGTGAAAGTTGCCTTACAAGCAAAAGCGAAGGATGCTTTACAAACAAAAATGCCTTTTGCAAATACAATTTTTTAGAAACAAAGATAAGAGTAATGAACTGTTATGTAGTATCAAGTCCTCCTATATGGCAGTGAATCCTGGACAATCTCCTTATAGATGAAAATATTTAAGGCAAGAAAAATGTGATTCTACAGAAGGATGCTGAGAATACCATGGGCTGAACATGAGAACAATGACAGTTTTAGAGAAAAAAATATACTTATCAGAAAGAGTTGAAATTTCTAGGGCACATAATGAGGAAAAGGGTTTGGAAAATAGACAAAGAGGGTCTGAGAAAATCAGTACATAAGTTACAAAATGAGCTTGTGTAAATGGATGGCAGAACAGGATTTAAGAGAGACAGTGAAAAAAATACAAAATTTACCAAGTTCTACAAAGGACAGGAAATTGTGAAGAGCCATAATTGCTAATGTCCCGAAGGTGGATGGCAGATAGAAAATAAAGAAACATGAGAGAAATTAAAGTCATTTTAATTTAAAGATTGGCAGGAAGAAAATCAAAATCATTGGTTTTTTTTCTGTTTTGTTATTGGTCAGATTTTGAGGAGAGGTTCAAGCAAACAATTATTCAGCACACCTGTTTATACGTTAAAAATCCCAGCACTTATTGAAGTATCAATACACAAGCATTTAAATGGGCTTCATTATTTTGAGTTTTGTTAAGGGGGAATAACTCATGACCGAAAACAGATTGAAGACATGTGGCTAATGTAATGTATGTCAGCTCAGAAAATGGAATCTGCAAACTGAGTTCAAATTATAGGCTAGTCTATTGCATTCACTTTTCCTCCAATGCCCTTGGAAAGAATGAAACCTTTTATTCTCTCTCTAGCTATGAAGCTATATCTTTATCCCTTAGCTATGGGTTAAACAAATGGGTAAAATGAGTTCTTAGGTTGGAATCATTCTAATAGAAAAAAGAATGCACTGCAGTTTACAAATACTAAAGGAATGGAATCTGTGGAGAGTCATGATTGTATATAACCTAAAAGAAAAAAAAAAAAAAACATTCCTGCACTGTGTATGAGGAATTTGAAATAAATTCCAACATTCCCTAGTGTAACGATATACAAGACTTAAATAATGTTTACGATTTTGACTTCTAGTAGGAGGATGTAACACATGGTAAAAATTAAGTGCCATTGTGTTTTCATGAGGACACAAGCAAAATGTGCATAATGATAAAAAATATTTAATTTTTCAAAATGACTTTTATAGGTTAAGCTATATTTTTTGTAGTTTGTTCAGTCAATTTGAACAATTTGATCAGATATTTCATGTGAATGTACAGAATGAAAGCAGCAGTGGATTGTTAAAGTTTTACATGAACAACTGTGTATATCAATCTGAGAAAGATTAAAAAAAAATCAGACAAAAAAACCCAAAAAAAACACAGTGACCCTGTAGCATCAAAACAATAATTCAAATTACCATCAAGTTCTCAAAAACATCTCCCTTCCTTTATTTTGTACATTAGTTGTGATTTTAAGAGTTGGGAAAGACAGAAAATTAGGTGGCACCTTGAGTTTGCATCAATTGTCTGGGTGTGTGTAATGTCATCAGTTCTGAAGAACAAATGTCAAGGTTGGTTAGATGGAGTTTCTAACAGGTTGTTTGAGGAGGACAGAGTTCACAGAGGTTGGTTGATGAAATAATAAAGAAGACAGCTGTACTTTGAGTGGATGGCAAGGAATAGAAAGTTGGTCAAATGGTCTAGGCCCCCAATATAGAACATGTTACTTTTCTTTTATGAACTAGAAGCAAATAAAAAAAATAAAAAAATGTGTCAAAGAAGTGGAATTAGATAATGGCTAAAGAAAAATAATAAAGAAAAAAGATATATAACAAAATACATAAAGAAATAAAAAGAAATTGTATTATAGAAAAAGAAAAAAAAATGAGAATTTTTAGAAATTGATATGTTTAAAACGAAGTCTCAGAAGACAAGACCATTGAATGTTAGACAAAATATGAGTGATTAAAGGGTGAGAGAGAGAGTGAGATTGAGCATGGAGTGAGAGAGTGAGATTGAGCATGGAGTGAGAGAGTGAGTGCAGAGCAAGAGAATTGGAGAGAGACACCGAGTGCAAAGCAAGAGAATTAGACAGACCAAGTGCAGAGTAAAAGAATGAGAGAGAGAGAGCGAGCGTGAGGTAAAAGAACGAGAGAGAGAGAGGTAAAAGAACGAGAGAGAGAGAGAGCGAGCGAAAGGAGGTAAAAGAACTAGAGAGAGAGGAATAAAAGAAAAAAAAAAGAACGAGAGAGAGAGAGAGAACGAGAGAGAGAGAGCGAGCGTGAGGTAAAAGAACGAGAGAGAGAGAGAGCGAGCGTGGAGTAAAAGAACGAGAGAGAGAGAGTGGAGTAAAAGAACGAGAGAGAGAGAGTGGAGTAAAAGAACGAGAGAGAGAGAGTGGAGTAAAAGAACGAGAGAGAGAGGGAGTAAAAGAGAGAGAGTGGAGAAACGAGAGAGAGAGAGGAGTAAAAACGAAGAGAGAGAGAGAGAGGGAGAAAAAAAGAACGAGAGAGAGAGAGAGAGAGAGAGAGTGGAGTAAAAGAATGAGAGAGAGAGTGGAGTAAAAGAATGAGAGAGAGAGTGGAGTAAAAGAATGAGAGAGAGAGTGGAGTAAAAGAATGAGAGAGAGAGTGGAGTAAAAGAATGAGAGAGAGAGTGGAGTAAAAGAATGAGAGAGAAAGTGAGTAGAATGAGAGAGAAAGAGTAAAAGAATGAGAGAGAGAGGGAGTAAAAGAATGAGAGAGAGAGGAGTGGAGAGAGAGAGGAGTAAAAATGAAGAGAGAGGGAGAAAAGAATTAGAGAGAGGGAGTGGAGAGAGGGAGTAAAAGAATGAGAGAGAGAGCAAAATGAGAGAGAGAGAAAAAGAATTAAATGAAAAAGTTAGAAGAGAAAAGAATGAGAGAGAGGGAAAAAATGAGAGAGAGAGTGAAGAAAAGAATGAAAAAAGCAAATGATGAGTAAAAGCGCCATGAGTAAAGAATGAAAGAATGAAAGAGTAAAAAGATTGTGAGGAATGAAAGAAAAGTGAGAGTAGATACTTTCTCAAATTGTCTGTGGCATAATCAGAGAAATCTTACAAAAGTAATTATGTTCATTATTATTTACACTTTGAAAATATAGTATTGAAATAAATATAACTCTGCCCCATTTTCTAAGAAAGAACTGAAGAATATATTCTTTCTTATAAAAGCAGGTTTCTAAAGGCATTATTGCATCCCTGTTTATTGCATTTCATCTGGCCTCTTTCACTATGCCACACAAACTTTTAGTGTTCAAGCTTCCATAAAGACAAGATTCCAAATGCAAAAAGGAACTATCATTTGAGGCTCACAAAAATAGATGAGTGTTTGAGCTTTGAAAAAAAAAAAAAAAAAAGAATGAACAAGCGTTTGTGTGATGAAAAAAAACCTACAAGCTTTTGAGACTTGCCAAAAAGGGATGAAGCATTTGAACCTTGCCAAAATACTATTAATGACTTTAGACTGACTGTGAGTAGTTGTGATGAAAAGCAATCAAAATGTAAAATACTAATTAGATATTTTCACTATGAAAAACTTAAAAATTCACAGTTGAGTTTTGTGATTGATTAATACTGAACATGATATCAAAGCCATTTTATATATGGGGAAATGCTAAAGACAACACAATATGAACAATTTTTGCCCTAATATCTATACATCTACTTACATTGCTGACATAGTGGTAACAGTATCAAAAAAAAAAAAAAAAAAATTAAAATATTTGAGAATAAAGGAGAAAAATGAATAGATAGATGGGATTTGAAGAAAAAATTTAACAATTTATAATTTTACAATTTTATAAATGTCAAATGTAAAATTAACTACAATTGAATTTTGCACAGTGAACTAGATTAATTTTAAATCAAGTGTACAAATTACTGTGCTAGAGAACATCAGATCATTAAACATTACTAAATTATTTTCATTTTACTTTTTTTTCATGCTATAAGAAGAGTTGAAATTAATGCAAGCAAGATTTCACAGTTCTAGCATCACTATTTCATTGTCAGCCTATGAACTTTTCAGCCCATCCTCATATTATTGTATCCATGGATGATAGTCAGGGACACCATGGATCATGCAATTCTACACATCAAGAACGATTACTTGGATGCATTCTATAGAACTCAATTCTATTCTGATCCTTTGGTTTGTATATTAGTAGTTTCTGAATATCTTGAGATTTTGACCAAAATAATTGACAAGTGTCATTTTTTTTTTGTAAGAGTGACCATGGTTGCTTATTATATGTAATTTATAGACAACAATTTGATTTATTATGAAGAAGCTTCTATACTTTAAAGCACTTTGTTTAATTTTACCCAGTAGTTGTATTAAGTGAACAAGATTAGCTCCTTTGTAGACACATGGCTACCCAATTACCATTAAATGGGTTCATATCTGTCATTATTACTCATTTATAGACTGGAATCATTATGTAACATTAGAGTTAAAAAAGTTGTTGATGCTACTAATAAAAGGAGATATAAACTGGCCTAGGGAAGTATAGTTTAAAACAAGACTATTTTATGACATAGCTAGGGCTGATTCAAAGTACTGGCAATATAGGCAGTCACCTGGGGTGGTATTGAGGCTGAGGCTCCCATCATGCATCCATGTCACGTGTTTGGGATCATATTTGTCATCCATGACTAAAGACAGATTAAATTCTTTGGTTATTTTGTCAATAGAAAATGATCTTGTAAAGAAGATAGGTATAGAAAGTGTCATGAAAAGATTTGCAGATCTAAAGGCTAGAAAACAAAGAGTTTTAGGTAGGATAAGGATTTTTTCTTTAGCTTGTAATAAACTTGTTATTCTACATTTTCAGTTTTTCTCCTTATGAAAATTAAAAAAATAATTTTACTTGTAAGGGCACTGAAGTTCAACTTGCCTGTGGTGCCAGTAACCCTAAGGTCAGCCTGGATGTAGGCTAGCCCCAGTAATACATCAGGCATTATTCTAGATTAGGCTACAACCATATCTGGATATATTCTGTGTGGGAGTTAATGTGGGCTGCTACACTAGGTCCTTCCATACTTTTATGTCTTGTTGGTTTTTATTCTGTTATGATGGAAGACTTATCTTTTTTAATCCAAGTTGTAGCACCTTTTCTCATTCCAAGATGATTCTTCCATCTCAGGATGTTATACATCCTAGTGAAGAGCAGATTTTCTACTTGTTATATAGGAATAAAGTTTTGTTGCTGACACTGTAGTTTGAACATAGATCACCAGAGAGCAAACACAGGTGATCCCATTTTGAATAAGTAGATCACGTGATCGTAAAGGAAATGTATATAAGGGAATTGGTGTGGCATCTAATTGATCACCATTTCTATTCTATCCTCTATTACAATATGGATCACTCTTTCTACACTATCCTTTATTCACTATACTCATCACTATTTGATGGTTACTTTTTGAGCAAGTATTATCGAGCAAGTGCTATTAGTGGTAGTGTTATTTGAAGATGGCTGACGCCAGTGTTGTTCAACAACGTTACTATTGTTGTATCTGCAATTACAAAGTCTCTACTACAATGAGCATTATGAATATTCATTGATATTATGAATATTCATTGATATTACAAAAGTGGCAACAAGTGTTCGTTGGTTTCTTTGGTCTTTTGTTTTGTGATTTTTTTATATTTCTATTGAATATGTCCCTCAGGTTTTTGTTTTATCTCTGCATATCTTCCATTTAACCATTTCTCCTGAGCCCATTTGCATTTATCTCTGAATGGCTTATATTGCTCTCAGATGGCAAATAAATGCTTGCTAATTTATGGATATTTTTCCACCTTCCCTACAGCTTATTAGGACCAGGTTTATTCATTTTTGAGTCACCCGATGTAATAGACTGCTGGAAGTTTTGTTTTGATATCAACCATGATGGGAAACCACTAGATTTTACTTACAGACATCGATTGATATTTATTTTTAGTTTCATTTCTTTTGAGCTCTTGTTAGAATTTGAAAGACTTATTTTTAATCATTTCCTAACCACTCCATCGATTTGCTCTATTTATTACATTTTCTGATATTCTTTCCAAGTCCACCATTCATTACAACCCTATCTTTTACTTGCCACCTGAGAATAAGGACGAGACTTCTGGCAATTTAACGATGCTATAACTTGATAGAAAAGAAAGCAAAGACAACCGTTTAAACAAAGAGAATATAAAAAAAGCAACAAACTTTGTAGCAATAAAGAGCATCCATATTGTTACAAGAGACGTTTTCATTGCAGCCATTTGCGTATTCTCTCAAGAGGTATGCTGCTTAGTTGAACCTTTCAACCTTTAGTGCCAAAATACAAGTTACCTAACAATAACATCTGGCATTGATATCACAAGACCAATTATTCTATCATTAATTATCAATTCAGTGAAGAGCCGAGTAAGTTAGTTACCAGTCTTAACACAAGTTTCAACAATGAGTATACAACAATAAATCCATTATTAATTGTCAGTCAATTGCGGATCTCAGCCAATCCGCTGCAATCAAGTTTTAACACAAGATCTGGCAATTAGGACATGATGCCAATTAATCTATTATTAACTGGCAATCAATTGAAGAGCTGAATAAGATAGCTACAAAAAATCCAGAATAAAATGACACAACAAAAAGAGTTGTTTTTACATTATAAATTCTGATATGTATCGTCATCTTGGTTGTTACAGTTAAACTTCTACCAGAAGATACAAGAACTATAGTCCAAATACATTACTGCATAAAAAATATTATAATTTGACTTATTCCTCTGCAAGTCAGTAATGTGTGGATCCATTTGGTGGAAGATAAGTCCTGTGATCACATGACAACCGCTTTGTGACATCACTTCGTACAGTGACCCAAAGTGGGAGTCATTTTTAAGTTTGTGAACAGCAACAATGCCAAAATTTTGCTTTCTTCTAACCAAGGCCAAAAGACCTAGGCTGAAGTTAAATATGTTTTCCCCAGCAGCTTACAACCACATAATGCCATTTTGTTTTGGAACATAGATGAATCCAAGCCATTTAAATCTGAAGTCATAAAAAAATGGCTTCTCCAGGTCAGGAATAACATCAAATTATATGTAAGAACTTTCATTTTGTTCCTCTCTTATTTTGCTTTGCTATGTAGATATATGCGAATTATAATTCTCCACATGGGACATATATATATATATATATATATATATATATGTGTATTTATAAATATAAATGACAATAGAAAAACTGTAATAGTTGCCACCACATTAAATTTATTTAAACAAAGTAACTAATGATAACAAAAACAAAAATTGGATGAAACGCATGGGCAACTATTACATTTTTCCTATTGTCATTTATATTTATAAATATTGTCTTTTCTACAGGTTAACTTTGAGAAATTTTCATATATATATATATATATATATAAATAAAAATAAAAGAACAGTAAGATATATAATCTGGTGTTCTTATAGATATTTTTACAAAATAGTGCTCGATGTAAATTTACAGAGAATTAATATTATAAATTAATTGATTTAATATCTGTAACCTTGGGAACTTGAATTTTGTTTTAGCTGTGTATTTAAAACCCAGTAATTTTATAAGTTACTCCAAAATTCGCTTGAGGATGAAATGGAACTAATGTCTTTAATGTGTGTGTGTGTGTGTGTGTGTGTGTGTCATAGTATATAAAAGTCTCTGAGAACAAAGCATGTTTGTCAATTCCATTCTATCCTGTCCGTGAGCTACTGGTTTGTTATATCACGTATATAATAATGCCCATAATGGGAGAAATATAACTGGGAGAATAAATCTTTCTTTCCAAACCCTCTCCTTCAGATATATCAGAGTGTTTGCTTCTAGTGAGCATAGGAAAGCATACACAATAAAAATAGTGAAAAAAAAGAAGGAAGATCAAGGAGAGAATAATGCTCTTATTTGTTTAATGTCTGCTTCAGTAAAATTTAAAACCTTATCAATTTTTAATCATCTATTTGGATCTTCTTCCTACTTTAAATAATCACCTGCATTCATGCGTATGAATGTTATCACAATATTTTGTTGGTAAGCACTAATATTTAATGATGGAATTGGGGAATTTCTATTGGCATTCTATAGTCAGTGAGCTCGTAAAGAGCATATCCAATTATTAAGAATTAGAATTCCTCAGAAAATTCAAATAGGAAAACAGTGAAACTTTCATAGGTACTGCAAGTAATGATAATTCCTCATCTCAAAAGCTCTGAAAAAAAAAAAAAATTACGGTTGATCTGTCGTCATTAATTTAGATAGGAAGGCAGATACAAAAGAAAGCATTTATCGTCAAATTTCTCTCAGCCTCAGATTACAATACAGGAGGAGAGGATTGAAAATGTGACACCAAAAGTATAAGACATCCTGGAATAGTAAAAGAAGCCTTTTAAAAGCTAAGCAAATTATTAAGAAATAGGAAAAGTTCATTAGAAACAAAAACAAAAAAAAAAGAAAGAGTGCTGAAAACCTATGTATATTAATCCTCCTACATGGCAGTGAATGAATTCTGGACAATTTCTTCAAAGATGAAAAAGAGCCATGAGGCAGTAGAGATGGGGTTCTTCAAAAGAATGTTGAAATTACCATGGATGGAGCATGTGAGCAACAAGGAAGTTTAAAAAAAAAAAAGCCATACTTAGAATAAGGAAGAGACTTGAAAATTCTAGGTCACATAATAAGAAAAGAAGGCATGGAATATTTAACACTCACAAGATGTACTGAAACAAGAGAGTCAAAGGGAAACAGTGAGTAACCTACCTAAAAAGCTTTTGTATATTGATAGCAGAACAGTGAGTGGGTGGGATAGTAAAAAGAAACATTGTTTAGTGTTACAAAGGATAGGAAATTTTGCAGAGACACCACTGCTTACATCCTGAAAAGACATGGCACATGAACACTTAATTTAAAGAACATTCTGGAACTATCCCTGTATATTTCTGAGATAATGCATTGTAACTGTTTACATTGTTTGGACTGTAGTCCTCATCTTTGTTGTCATATTCACAACATTTTGGCCATTTTACATTCCAGCCTTCTTCAGGTGATTGGAATTCCAAACCAAACCCTTTATTTCTTTCCACCTGGGAAGAATGTTCTAGTCCCATATGCCATGCCTCTTCTGGATTTCTCTGTTTCAGTTTAGTAACAACTTTTCAAGAAGGCCGGAGTGTACAATAGCCAATATGTCATGAATATGAGAGCAAAGATGACAAAAACAGTCCAGATAATGTAAATAGTGTAAATTCTGGAACCAGCAAAAGCTTTTTGAAGGAAGATAAAATTTTTATATTAAAAAAGATGTGAAGACATGGTGTGATTCACGAAGACATTAAATTGGCAATTCCAGGTTCAAAACTATGATAATGCTTCAAGAAATGACAAAAACAAAAAAAAATAAATCAAAAGAACAAGAAAAATCATCCAAGCCTGGATAAAAGAAATGCTTCCATTCAACATTCCATGGAGATTACCAGAAGCAAGAAATAATTTCATGGAGATTGCCACTGGCAAAATATAATTCTGTAGAGATTACAAAAAGAAGCCCTGAAGAAGGTTCAAGTGCATGCTAGTCAAAATACAATACAAACAACCAAATTCTTAATTTTGATTGGTTTTTATCACAAATCCCCAAATCTCATTCTATCATTGTTAGTATGCAGTGCAGATCGAAAATGAAAAATAAGCCATAATTCTAATACTTTATCCTTGGAAGACTGTCAGTGTGACAGCTGCCTTACTGATTTGGCTACACAGACCACTGGATGCAGATATTCAAACTTAACCATATAATTAACAATATTTCTTTTTATTATTTTGCTTACCAACAATCATGGAATTATAATTTGAGAAAAGTAAGAAAACTGAAATTAAGATAAAAATATGAAAAGCAGCAGATTTTATTGGCATTTAATTTCACATTACTGCAAAGATTTTTTTCTATGCACATTTAAGTGTTTGTTTACAAATATGAAACTTGGACGCTTATTGCTATATCATGTTGAAACACTGGTTTGCATAGTGGTTAAGTAACATTGAACCTGGTCAGTACCTAGATGGGTATCTACTTGGATATAACAGGTGCTGTAAGCTTGGATGTGTGGATAATGTTGGTTATTTGCTTTTGTTTAGCAGCATATCAATCTCAGTGAGTTATTTAATGTTGAAATCTAAATAATCTGAATACAATTTTATGTTGTCAACACTTCTATACTTTCAAATATGGATAAAATGTATGGCTGGTTATTTTGCTTTAAAAATGGATTGTTAATCCTTTTTTATATAAAAATGTATTGCTGGTACTTTTATTGCAAAAACTATTTTTGTTCTGTCATAATGTTTTGTTTGGGGTAGTTCACCATTTGCCCATAGCTGGGACCCTAACAAGTGCTACCACCCCGGGTCAGGAACAACAGCAGTTAAGAGATAGTTCCATGCTCTTTGAAACTTCCAATCTTCTGATAAGAGGCTTTGCTGCCTTGATGCAGTTTATCATCATACACCGGACTCATGGATAACATCACAGAATAGGAAATCAGATAGTCAAATTCCAATTGGGTTTGTTATATTCAGTTACATGCAAATAACTTTGGTAAAAGATATGAATCCACCTCTTTCCCACCAAGTTATGTGTTAAATAATAGGAATTGTATTATAAATGATTGGTATCTCCCCAAAAAGATTCTCCCAATCTATGAATATTTTCTGGCTTTGAATAACCTGCAAAAGGTTGATAAACCATAAAAAACAAATCAAACAGTTCACAACTAGGATACTTATCTTATTATTATTATAATTACCCAATCCAGAAATATAAAATTCCATTCTCGGTAGTGGCAATATGTGAGAAAATAACTGGAAGATTGTAGGAGTGACTTACCTCAGCGACTCAAAAGAGCCAGAGTCATATGTATGTTTTGCAAGGGAGTGTGGAGACGGTGAATCAGCAAGCTTCAGAGAGATGGTGAATTGGGCAACACTTTGTGCTAACGGAAATGATGGTGTCATTTTATTGGCTGGTTCTGGGTGCTTATTGGCGGAGTGCTTGCTGGGTCAGGTGTATAAAAGCATGGTACGCTCATTCAAGAGTAGTTTGCTTTTCGCTTCTGACAAGGAGTGGCATATTGGAGATCGAGACGAGGAGAGAAGTGTGGATTTGTTTTGCTTAGTGTACCTATTGGACTCATGCTACCTTTTATTTCACCTCCCTT